GCATTGAACAGCCATAGCATTGAATGATGCATATATGATGCCTGTAAATGTATCATACAAAAAGAAACCTTATATAAATTGTTCTCTGCTTGCACACACATAGCGAGAATATAGCGAGAGCAAAAGTTGTATTTCAAAGGCCCGCTAACCTTCAGAAAGGGAGTTGGTGACCATCAAACAGGAACAGAATGTTCTCTGCTTGTGTGTGGGTCTGGCCGCTCGTGTCTGCATGTGCGTGCGTGTGTGTCTGTAAAATGTGCTTTGCGCTTAAACTGGGGTAGAAAAAAACCCTTTGTTCTGTACGCTAATTGAAGTAGTTGGCTTACAGCTTCTGAAAAATTGTTCTGTCAGTGTTTCCTTTGGATCTGGTGCACTGGTTTGTCATTTTGTTTAGTTGACTTGATTTGGGTGGGTGCATGTGTGTACACTTTTCTAGGACAGTATGCACAGTTTAGCATAATAGACTGTGTGTTTGTGTGCAGGTCGTGTGTTTATAAGAATGACCAGGCGGTGAAAGAAAACGCCACTAAGGCCCTACAAGAAGAAGAACCTTGTCCTCGTTTTGCTCATCAGTTAGTCTATGATGAGTTGCACAAGGTAATGTAGATCATTTCACTTCCACACCCATGGTAAATATGAATTGAACTTTTATGAATAGTTTGGTGGTGTGGTTTAGGATTGGTTAGTTAGCGATCTGAGCTGATAACCCAAAGTTCCAAGTTAGGTTTCAACCTTAACTTACCTCAAGGAAGTCAAGGTGAAATTAAAATTGGACCCTGTTTATCTCTTAATACTTGATTTTTTGTTTTTTTTTCTTTCTTGTTTGGTTAAACATCCTGTTTTAATTCAGAAGTATCTGGTCTATTGTGTATCTTTACCTTTTTAAAGAAGACAATGATTATATATCACAAACTGATTTTAAATTACCAGATGCGACAACTTTCAAATTACAAGGTTGTAACCTGTGAACATTTGTATAGACGTTTAAATACAAATTATATTTACCTCTGGCACTTTGACAGCTTGAGCTGATAAAACACCCATTTCCTTAATTGCTGTACTGATTAATCAAAGCAATTAGCAGGGCATTGATATGACGATATGGTACACAGGTGCATTACCTTTTCGGGGGAAACCCAGGGAAGTCCAGCTCACCCAAAATGAGATTGGATGATTTCTGGTCTCTAAAGCTCTGCCGTCCTTCCAAAGAATATCTGCTTCGACACTGCAAATACCTCATTCGCAAATACAGGTACAAATAGACTTTTATATGAATACGAAAGTGCTTCACCTGTTACAATCTGCTGTTCACAGACTCCTTATTCTAACCTCACAGTTCTTGATTAGGAAATTGTGCTTAAGAATAATGTTTACTGAATTGCATAGTCTGGTCTCTCTCTGTCTGAAGCCAAAGAAAACTGTCAGATGCTCTTAGTTTCCAAATGGCGCTAGGAAAATGTTTAGATATCTGTTCCATGTTAAATAGTTTGTGTCGAATGTTAATATGAAGAACATGATCTTGCTCTGATCCTGCTGTGATCTGAATGTAAACCATTAGGACCAGCTGTATTGTTATGTAATTGCAGTGTCATACAGCACTGCAGTTAGTGATTAAATTACAGCAGTAGTTTTCCATTGGTGCATGTGATTTCTGCTCACTTTGTGCCATCTGGTGGCCATATTTGGTTACTTAATGGAATATTAGTGTTCCTAGAAAAAAAAAAATCTGTCCTAATTTTTTACATTTAAGGTTGCAGAGTTTTTAAGTCACATTTAAACATGTTTACATTCTGATTGCTGCCTTGTGTGTGTTTGCAGGTTTGAGGAGAAGGCTCAGACCGAGCCCTTGAATGCACTTAAATATCTGCAGAATGATCTGTCTCTTACTGTGGACCACACCGACCCTGATGAGACAAAAGAGGTCAGGACCTTCATGAAAAATGGTTACATTTTATGATTAAGCTTGTAGATAACAAACTTTTAAACTTGCAGTTGTCAGTTTGCGCATTTACATGAGTTTTAAAAGTTTGATTTCAGTTGGACTGAAGCAAAGTAGCGTGTAAATGCTCGAATCTGACTAGGCCCAATACATGTTTCATAAGTGAATGTGCTTTTTGTGTGTTTGTTTCCTGTAGTTCCAGCTCTTGCCCTCTGCTCTGTTCAAATCCAGCTCAGACTTCATTCCTCTAGGTGAGCGCTCTTTTTGTTGAACACAATTGTCCTCCAATCACGTTCTTTTATTACTACTGAATATCAGCACAGAGTCTGCTCAAATATATTCATTAGTGCTTTGATACTTAATATTGATTTTCTTCATGACAGGCTTTTCAGATGTGGATCAGACGTACGCCCAGCGCACACAGCTGTTCGACACGCTTGTCAATTTCTTCCCAGACAATATGACCCCGCCCAAGGGTAACCTTGTTGACCTCATCACCCTGTAGCCACGCCCTACACAATAGACCACACCCCTCTTTAGACCTCTCAGACTCCTCCCACCCAAAACAGAAGTTATTTTTCTACATTTTTCACCCGAGGTGTGCCGTGCCCACCTACTGTGTTTCCTCTTACAGAAGTAATGGCACTTAAACGTCACTGAGACTTATTTAAAATGCATAAATATAATTTTGTACTCTGGATTGCCAGGGTTGTGCTTTTTTTATTTTAAAAAGGTGTCAGAATTAGGTTTAAATCTGCATATCTGCCAAATTGCACACTGAATTTTCCTTTTTTCTTTTCTTTTAAACAAACTTCTGCTTAGTTTCAAATCTGTTTCAGTTTTATCATTTAAATTTTCTTTCATACAGGTTGAAATATAGGCGAGTTATCATAAAGGGGTGGTTTTGATTTATGAACTGTGTGATCAACAAGGGTTCCATTCTGCCTTGCTATTTTAAATCAAATTTTTATGGACAAACATATGTGCGCTCATCCAGTGGAGGCCGAAGGCAAAGATCAGATTGCCCTCTAGAGTCAGTTTTCTCACTCTAGTAGATCAATTCTGTTCACTCTCAATCCTGGATTTAAATACTGGCTTCCATCTAAACCTGCTGCTGCTATTGGATGCTGCCGTGACATTAGTGCTCTCTTTTACTCTTTAATAGTGATGAAACACCCGATTCCATATGTTCTCATCCACAAATTTTAAAAGGTTAGATTTGCTATAGTGGCATGTTTGAGGTGTAATGCACACATTTAGGTACACAAGAACTGTTTTCCACTGTGTGTGTGTAGGAATGCAAATATTAGTAGCACATGATCATTCATGGCAACACTTACTTTATAACAGGTCATTATACTTGTATCCATTAGTGAATGGATGAACGAACACTTTGCTGCAATTAGAAGAACCGAAGATGTGGATGATTTTAATTTTTGAAGTGTAGCTTGTGGCTGCTTTTGTCGGAACTCCGTATAGTCCAGTTCATACTGCTTTGTTACACAGATTGTTCAGCTTACTGGTACCAACTCAAAGGAGCCTTATTGGGACCACCGAAGACAGAAGAGACCCCTCACTATTTATTATTAATATTGTTATTTCTTGGTGAACTTGAGCCCTGAATGTCATATCTTATGTTCTGTTTCTCTCTATGATGTCATAGAGACGTCTATATGTGCCCTTCATTCCGTATGAGCTTCCGGATTGTTTACAATTCTGGACAGATGAAAGTGTGTTGGATGATAGTCTTCCATATAGTTCATCCATACATCTGGATAACTTGGTCTCCATTTGTGCAGTGTTAGTTTAACAGCAGTTATATTTGTTATTTGTCTCCCTGTGCACGAGTAGGAAGTGCTTGCCCTGCAAAAAAAAAAAAAAAAATTCAGTAATTAGATCGCTCTTAAATTTGCTGTAGTTTTGGCTTCACCCATGCAGAAAGCAAAGGCTCAAAGAACCATGGGACAGTACATTATGCTTCACCCTGCTGATTGTGTCCTCCCAAGTGTCATATCTCAATTCCCTGAACTCAGTATTAGCTGTAATTTGGCTCTTACGGCGCACTGGAGGGTGGAAGTTTGATTGATTTTTAAGATTCAGTGCTCTTTATTTCTTTCCTGGCGTGAATGCAATTCGGGTGTAAATGATTTGGAATCCAGGGCTTACTTTGCCTTCAGCATTTTTATAGGTAGGTTTCTTAAATCATCTTGGAGATGTTGCCACAGTTGTTTGTTTGCTTGTTTGTAAAGCTGTAAAGTGTTGACAATTTAGGTACCTTTTAATAATCTAGATTTAAGGTTAAAATTGATATTAATATTTTTATTTATATATGTATGTCTATTTATTTATTTATTTTTATTTTTAGGTGCTGTAACTGGATGTCCCCACCCCACCCCCCAGCAAGGATGCATTAAATGGATCAAAATAGTACAAAAAATATATTCATCAAAGAATCCTGAAAAAAGTGTAATGGTTTCCATAGTACAATTAAGTAGCACAACCATTTTAAAAGTTGATAATAGTAAGAAATATTTGCACAGCAAATCAGCATATTAGAACAATTTCTGAAGGATCATATGACACTGAAGACTGGAGTAATGACTGCTGAAATTTCAGCTTTGCATCACAGGAATAAATTCATTAAATTAACTTTTGTGAACATAAATGTCTTTCAAAACCATTTAACCTTTCTCCCCACTAGCGACAGCCCTGTACATATCCGTGGGCGGGGACTTGTTTCTATCCATATGTTGAAATCACTGGAATTTGAGATGAGCATTGAACTCAAGATCTGAATGCAAGATTGCAGTAAATTGTGGAGGGTTTAAGCTGATTAATGATTAAATAAGTCTGGAATGTGTCACCAGAGAGACATCTGTCATTTCACTGTAAGATTTTTATGACATTTTGATTACAATTTTAGGGTCATTAAATTATCAAAAAAAAAAGTCAAACTAGGTTCAAAGAAAAAGAAAGAAAGAAAGATGCACAGTTAAATCATTTACAATAAGATCAATAACATAATAACATTTAGGATGAATTTTCATGCAGACTTTAAGGTACCTCTGTTTGTTTTCTTATCTTTTTAGGAACATGAAAGCCTCCTGGTTACTGCTGCGTTTATCAAATGTAAATGAACTTCAAATGTTTTCCTTTTTGTGGTCCAATGAGAAAAGAAAGTCATAGGGGTTTGGAATGACATGAGGGTGAATAAATGATGACAGAATTTTCCATTAATATCATTTACAGATTTTTAAGCTGTTGAAATTGTGCAGTTGTCTATATTTGTTGTAATCAAATTTTTTTGTCATAAAGACTGTACCAGTATGAAGAAAATCTTACTTGGTGACCCAATGTTGTTTTTTTTGCCAGTTGTAATCTGTTTGGAAGGCTCTGTAGAAGGACTGGGTGCTGTGTCTGGGTCAGAAGGGTCGAGTCGCATTGCTGGGTCAGCTGGACCGGGTTTTACTGCTGAGTCAGAAGGACTGGGTTGTGCAGCTGTGTCAGAAGGACCAGATTGCACGGCTGGGTCAGAAGGGTCGGATTGCACAGCTGGGTCAGATGGATCAGAAGGACCGGATTGCACAGGTGGGTCAGAAGGACCGGATTGCATGGGTGGATCAGAAGGACCGGATTGCACGGGTGGGTCAGAAGGGTCAGAAGGACCGGATTGCACGGGTGAGTCAGACGGATCAGAAGGACCGGATTGCACGGCTGGGTCAGACGGATCAGAAGGACCAGATTGCACGGGTGGGTCAGAAGGACCGGATTGCACGGGTGGGTCAGACAGATCAGAAGGACCGGATTGCACGGCTGGGTCAGACGGATCAGAAGGACTGGACTGCACGGCTGGGTCAGAAGGGTCAGAAGGACCGGATTGCACGGCTGGGTCAGATGGATCAGAAGGACCGGATTGCACGAGTGGGTCAGATGGATCAGAAGGACCGGATTGCACGGCTGGGTCAGAAGGGTCAGAAGGACCGGACTGCACGGCTGGGTCAGATGGATCAGAAGGACCGGATTGCACGAGTGGGTCAGATGGATCAGAAGGACCGGATTGCACGGCTGGGTCAGAAGGACCGGATTGTACGGGTGGGTCAGATGGATCAGAAGGACCGGATTGCACAGGTGGGTCAGAAGGACCGGATTGCATGGGTGGGTCAGAAGGACCGGATTGCACGGGTGGGTCAGAAGGGTCAGAAGGACCGGATTGCACGAGTGGGTCAGATGGATCAGAAGGACCGGATTGCACGGCTGGGTCAGAAGGGTCCGAAGGACCGGACTGCGCAACTGGGTCAGAAGGGTCAGAAGGACCAGATTGTGCGGCTGGGTCAGAAGGACCGGATTGCGCTGCTGGGTCAGAAGGTTCAGGAGGACCGGATTGCGCTGCTGGGTCAGAAGGACCGGATTGCGCGGCTGGATCAAGAGGACTGGATTGCGCGGCTGGGTCAGAAGAAACAGACTGTGTGGCTGGGTCAGACAAGCCAATTTGCGTGGCTGGGTCAGATGGATCATTTTGCGTGGCTGGGTCAGAAGGATTGACTGCTGCGGATGCCATGCTATACATGAGGGCACCTATGGGAAACAAAGAAAACAGCTAATTAAGAAAAAATATATCTGCAAACTCAAGATTTCTAATCGGTTCTGTGAAATTTCTATAATGCTGCATTATAGGTTCACAATAGCAGTGTAAACTGTTTTTAAATGTTGAAGTCAAAAAGAGGCAGTGTTAACTGCTTTTATACATGCTAACAAGTAGCTTAATTTCTGATGAGTTACTGCAACAGTCATTGAAACGGAACAGTGTCTTGTGTGTTCAGTCAAAAACACTTTAAAAGTAACAACCAAATTTAGCTACTTTCAGGGAGTATTTTTGCTGATTGTTTATCCGGTAATAAACACTGTAAACAAGAAGCAAGAGCTAAGCTCATTTATTTTTACAGAGTCAGTCTTTATGTGTATTCTAATATCGTGTAGCACAGCAAATTTTTCTCAGCAGTATTTATTGTATATTTCAAAATGGCTTTGGGTTTATATAGCTAATTTATACAGATTTTCTTGTTGTATTTTTACAACACATATGTTGAGCAAGTTCCTTCTTTCTTGAGGTATCAGATGGCTATCGATTTTTTTTTTTCTTCAAGCACTTATTGTTATTATGTCTAGATGTCATATCGTAGTGGGAGTTTCTCTCTGTTTTTAGTGAGCTGGACAGGACACTCCATACAATAACTTAGGAAGTAGCACACCTACTCTTTTAGGTGGAACCACAGATGCCAAAACAATGGTTGAGGCCTCTTGAGGTTTAAAACAACAGCTTTTTCCTAACTTGTGGCTCTCAAGTTCATAATTATATATTTAGTAATCGACAGACTTCTAGCCACTGACCCAGTATTTATCACAGTTACAGTTGCTTTACTATTATTTTACAAATATATCTTGTCAAAGACAAACCCAATATTAAATATGCAGTATATGCTGTTTATACAATCAGTCCAAGACTTTATGCAATAAATCCTACATTTACACAATTAACTTAAACTGTTCCTGGTGCTTTTTACCAGAACTAGCCACCCAGTATGATCTTGTAAATCTTGCCCCACTGGGATGTCAGAACAATCAATTGAGGTTGTTGTAGAAACACGGCATTGTTGCTGTCAGGATAGGGGTTAGTGATGAGAGGCTGTTTATTTTGGTTGGTGAGTCAGTGCTGTCTATCATTTAGCCCTCTGTGTAATCACCATCTTATCACATAGCCTTGCGTCTCCAAAGATATGTCCACTGCTAATCAGCACGACTGCCTATCACAGCTCTAGACTTAACTGTTAAACTAAGCCTTTTCGCTGCACTGCTTTGGTCCTTGTTTTTAAGAATCCAATTAATTACAGTGAAACACATTGAAAATGAGTTTAAAATACAAATTTATTTGAGTAATGGAAAATTTAAGATTGTTTTTTTTTACTCTTATCGTCCTTCATCATCACCCTGTGGTTTCCATTAGTTCCATTGATTATAGGATTGACCCTCGTTGACCCTGCTGTCAGTTGCGGTCTGTTTATTACCCACTGACAAGGCTGCTGGTCCTAACACTATCAATGTAGAAACGGTTTGGAGAAAATGCAGACATTTCACCTACATAGATACATCATAGTCATGGGTAGCCCCTCACAGATGCATATAATATGCTCTTTTATCTGTCATACAGACTCCCACACTCTCACTGAGATTCTGGAGGTACCGTTTCAGCAATCCCTGATAACAGGAGCTCAACTCACTTAAAGATTGGGATCAGATCAAATATAGATGATCCTGTATTTGTAGCCTAAAATATTGTATTTTTCTCTTTTGGACTCATTCATTGTGTCTCTCAGGATTGTTGTCAGAACGTTGGTTGGAAGTCTTGTTTGGAATAATTAAGATTTTTAAATGTTTTTAAAAGAAACCAATTATATTCACCAAGGCTGAATTTATTTGATCAGAACAAACTGTAATATTGTGAAAGATTAGTAGAGTTTAAAATAACTGTTTTATATTTTAATATATTTAAAAATGTTATTTATTCATATGATGGCAAAGCTGAATTATTAATAATAGTTATTATTATTATTGATGATGAAAAGTTATTGCCACTTAATGTTTTTGTGGAAACTGTGATACACTTTTTGGCTGCTGACAGCATTACATTATTTTACAATTCAATTAAAATAATTGTAATTTTAAATTACAATTTGAAATAACTTAAATATTATTAGAATTTAACAATTTATTGTTACAATTTTAATAAACAGAAAACTGTTATTTTGTAAATTGTAATAATATTTCACAATAATACTGTTTTTGCTGTATTTTTGATCAAATAAATGCAGCCTTGGTGAACATAAGAGACTTTTTTCAAAAACATAATTATTTCATACTTTTGACTGGTAGTGAAAAGTTTGTGAAAATGGGAATGATCAATCCAAAAAGTTTATCCAGCTTTGTCTAAAAAGTAAAAATATTTAATTTGAAGGGGCAATTTTGTGGCCAGGAGTGTTATGTAATAAATGGAAAACAAAGTTATGTTTGTATTGCTATTATATTGATATTATTAGGTTATTCATAAAGTTGTAAATTGTTGCTTAATTGTGTCTTGGGGATTAATAAAGTTGTATTATATTGTATTGTACTAATTTCTTTGAATAGGACATGGACACCCTCAGTCTACCACCCCCCTCTCCAGCTGCGTGCAGGACCTCTTTGGGCCCCTAGTTTACCCCCACTCCCCATGATAGTGTCCTATTCAGGGGTAACTGAACAGGCCCATCAGCCCAACGGGAGGGGGGCAGGGAAGATGGGGATTGGGGGGCTCCTTTATGGAGCTAAGTCACAACTAACCCCTTCTATTGAGGTGAGGAGAGAGACTGTGAATATAAAAATGCACACAATGAATGAAAGACAGACAGAAAGGAAGGAGGAGTCTGAGAGGGTTGACTCAAACGCATTCCTCATGATACACACTATCAAGATGTCATTGTGGCGTACTAATAGAACTGTATCAAGCTTTTTAGGACTGAATACTCAGAGTGTGAAGTATCAAAGCTGAAGTGCCACATTTTTTTCATTTAAGGATAAAGAATTTTTAAATAATTGCAAACACCCAGTAATGGTGAGCTGATTTGAGTTCATTTGCTAGAGAATGTGTGAGGTGTTTTTCTTTTTCTTTTTTCTTTTGGCTAAGAAAGACTAGCTGCTAATGGTGCAAAGTATCCGAGTGATAAAATGAAGGATTTGTGGGTAGAGAGAGGAGGCCGGGTTAGAGGTTGGATTAGAGAAGGGTGTTGAAGATCGCGGTAGTGCCAGTTGCAGACATTATACATAATAAGCAGATCAGAAAAGGAGGGGGAGAATTACAGAGGGGCCATCTTTGCAATCTCAAGATATGGAGGTCAGTCTCTCACTCCCTTTCCCTTACACATCTCCCTATAAATATTAGACACTGACACGTTAAGCAGGGAATTACATTACTTCTTGGTGCCACATTAAGACCACATGAAATCAGAATTGCGGCTTTTAGTCCATTAATAGTTTCTAATAGTTTGAGGCCATTATGTTAGTCAGGTCAAAGTATACTTTTATTTTGATAAATAAAATAAATTAATCAAAGGTGGCAGTAAAGACTTTTACACTGTTACAAAATATTTCAGTTTCAAATAAATTCTGTTCTTTGGACTTTTCTATTCATCAAAATATGCTGGAAAAAAGTTGGTTTCCACCAAAAATATTAAGTGGCAAAGCCTATTTTAAACAGTGATAATTGAGCACCAAAACAGCATATTAAATGATTTCTGAAAGATAATGTGGCACTGAAGACTGGAGTAATGACTGCTGAAAATTCAGCTTTGCATCACAGGAATAAATTACATTACAAATATATTAAAATACAAAACAGGTGTTTTAAATTGTGTAATATCATTAAACAAATTTTTTTCAGTTTTGATCAAACAAATGCAGCCTTAAGAGACTTCTTTCAAAAACATTAAGAAACATAACTGATCCCAAACTTTTGCACAGTAGTGTATGCTAAATCTGTGAGGTTTGTTTCCAGAATCCAAAAAATAAGTAAATGTCTTTGATTTTAAAGTAGGCTATTTACGTCATTAAATAACATGTATTTCAATTTTATTCCACTATTTATTTTTTTGTGTTATTACTGTGGTATAAAATTATACCGTGATTTAGGATTTATTTTTTGGATCACCGGCTTCTAGTTTATAGCTGTAATGCAAACTAAATTAGCTATTTAAAAAGGGACAAGTCCTTCACTATACCCCACCCAAACGTCCTGTGCAAATAGGAAAGACGTCCTCAACACAGGACAGAAAATCATGCATATAAAAGCTTTCCATGGGGTCTTTAAAAAGCATGGTAATTCACTACAACCCTTAGGTGTCTCATCTACTCTTGCGTCATATAAATCAATGTTTCATTCCTTGAATAATCTCTTTTATCAGAAAAAGTTGGATCATTTGGCTGAGAGATGTAGCAAGACAGAGAGAGCAACAGGAACGGGGCAGAGGAGAGAGGAAATAAGTGTCACACCTTCCCTGGGAACAGGGATGTTGACAGAACACTTTCCTACCCATTATTCCACACTTTCCCAAGCCTTGTGTAAGATGGCCCTGTCAGGCTGTATCGAGACAGGAGCGCTGCCAAAGGATACTTTGTTGCAATCAATTTATTTTGGCTGATTTAAATGTTGAGGCTTTCTTGACAGTAGAGGATGGAGGAAACCTTATGCAACACAAGGAAGCCCTCAAAATTCAGGTCTATCAACACACAGGGAACCTTTTATAAATACTCGAGTTAAACAATGTGGAAACAGGCCTAATTTTGATCAACCTTGAAGTTCAGAAAAGCTGAGATTACAACATCCTCACTTCAAACAATTAATCAGACCTTTTAGAAAAGGCTGACTGAGACAGAGTAGAGTCAAAAGTGCTTATGATGCTTTTTACAAAGTTGGGTAAACAAAACAGGAGCACTTTTCTAATGACCGTCAGTCTGATGTCTGGACAGGCAGGTGCACCGCACTGATAATTAAAGAATAACAGTCCTCCCTCACATCCCTCTTGAGTCTGAGACGCACACTGCATCTGTAATTGTGTCACTGTTTGTAATTTCAAAAAAGCAGCTGACAGAAATGTTGAGCGGCACAGATGCTGCACTAAGAGCTCTTACCAGGATTTTCTGCCACTGTTATATCTACATATACACATGCGGTCAGGTACTGATTAGTAGCCATCACTGTCAGCAGAATGTAAGTTGTTTTATGATAACTATCTTAAGTCATAGACTTAATGCTGAACAGATTAGTATCTGATGTGCATTCAAATATGAATTTATATGAGAATATGTTCATCAAAATTATGTAGGAATTCCAAAACAACAGTTTTTCCCCCATTCGTTAATTCATCTAAATGACAGAAAGGGTCAGAAATTAACAAGGGCTCAGGGCAAAAATGTTAGAGACAAAGACAACCCAGCTAACAAAAATATGTTCTAAGAACGTTTTGCTAACGTTCTTAGTTATGGAAATGTTAGTTATAATAAACTTAGTTTGTATTTATAGTGTGAACGTTAAGGGAACATTGCATTTTATAATTTTGCAAACATTATGGGAATGGTTGAATATTCTCTGCATGTTCTGGGGAAAAAAGATGAACCTCCAACAAAACGTTTCAGAAATAAAACGTTCCATAAACAATGTCAATAATGCTTTTGTGCTAAAGGTTTGTGAACAAACGTTCTATTTATGTTCTATTAACATTACATTAACATTGGCTAAAGTTCTGAAAACGTTCTTTGTTAGCTGGCAAGTGTTTGACATAAATGGATTTTTATTTTCATATGGTAAAACAGTAAGCCCTTATAAACATTAACAAGTAAATGTTTCTCCTTAATTTATATTTTTGACTCATTACTTAAAGTTACTCAAGAATTGCCACTTATAATCAGTGTTGGGGGTAACGCATTACAAGTAACGCGAGTTACGTAATCAGATTACTTTTTTCAAGTAACTAGTAAAGTAACACATTACTTTTTAATTTACAAGATGATGTAAATTAAGATTTCCTCAAAATGAATAAAAATAATGCAACTCAGAATATGACGCGAACCTGCAATAATTAAATGTTAAACAACACAAATATCGTTTATGTATTTAATCCCATTCTATTAACCTATGTCTTTGCTTCTGACCTTCGATGATCCAGTTCAACCGTACTAATATGCAAAAATGACTCTAGACAACATTTGTGTCTTTTTTTATTGCTGAAGTGTGTTGAAATGTCTTCTTCTGCATTCTACTGTACGGACGTAAATGTACTTTCCCTTCAGCCTGAGGCTTATTCATTTCACTTTTGGTGTGAAAAGGCTTTCATATTTGCCAAAAATAGAACTTTTTTATTTTAAAAACAAACAAGCAAGCCCTGTCCAGATTTTAAAAACTAACGCAGAAGTAACATAACGCATTACTTTCCATAAAAAGTAACGAAGTAACGTAATTAGTTACTTTTTTATGGAGTAACGCAATATTGTAATGCATTACTTTTAAAAGTAACTTCCCCCAACACTGAATATAAATGTGAACTAAATGTTAAAAGTCCTATCTCTATTGCTGCTATAGGAATCTGACTAAGTAACTTAACGGTTTAAATCATCACGACGTCATGGATAATTTTGTAAGAACGTTTATTGAATTTAAAACATTTAAATATTTAAAAAGTTCTAAAACCACGAAGTTTATATTCTAAAGAGGTGTTTGAATGATCAACCGTGAATGGGCTCATTCAGCGTATATATATCACGTTCTATCGATGCGATTAATGCTAATAATAAATATGAGAAATGTTTAACATTTAAGCACATCCTTAAGTGAACGTAAACTCACCTAATACAACGATGACTGTCCATGTGATTGCCATTTTCAGTCCGTCAGTTTGATGCTCGCTGCTCCGCGTTCCAAGCTGACTTCAGAAAAAGTTTGGCAAGAAAAGGCTGATCGGTTCCGCTTATCGTCTTGAGTCTGTATCTGTTTTTGCAGCAGGTTTTTTTTTATTTTTTTTTTTATCTTAACGCCAAGAGGAGTGTTGCTCTACCCCACCCTGAGGGTCCGGGGATTTGGGGGGCAAAGTTTTGGTGGGTTTCCTTGGCTGCGCGGATTGTGATGAATTGAATGCGCGGAGTCGTCTGCAGTGCTGCTGTTGCCACGCTTGTACGGCGGATCTCAGAGCCGCAGGGCAGGGGGGACCCAATAGAGAGGGCTGGGCAGACACAGGACTAGTCCATGAATAATATACTAATATGTCTAGATATGTCTAACATCATGCATGTCACTGTATTGCATGTCAAGTCCGTATTTAAGGATGTGGCCAAAATAATAATAATAATAATATAAATGATAAAATTACGTTAATAAGAATTATGATACAATAATAATAACAATATGATTTGTTAATAATATAATTCAATATTTTTGTTCATGGACTAGACACATGACCCATGAGTAATATTGTGTGCTCTAGTTATGTCTGAAATAATAATAATAATATAAATGATAAAATTACGTTAATAAGAATTATGATACAATAATAATAACAATATGATTTGTTAATAATATAATTCAATATTTTTGTTCATGGACTAGACACATGACCCATGAGTAATATTGTGTGCTCTAGTTATGTCTGAAATAATAATAATAATATAAATGATAAAATTACGTTAATAAGAATTATGATACAATAATAATAACAATATGATTTGTTAATAATATAATTCAATATTTTTGTTCATGGACTAGACACATGACCCATGAGTAATATTGTGTGCTCTAGTTATGTCTGAAATAATAATAATAATATAAATGATAAAATTACGTTAATAAGAATTATGATACAATAATAATAACAATATGATTTGTTAATAATATAATTCAATATTTTTGTTCATGGACTAGACACATGACCCATGAGTAATATTGTCTGCTCTAGTTATGTCTGAAATAATAATAATACATTATATAATTAAATGTATTATAATTATAATATTATGATACATATATTAATTAATAATAATGGTATATTTATAATATAATATTTCTAATATATAATTTGTTATTAATTACATAAGTTGATGCCATAAACATTTTTTGTTGTTCAAAACATTGTTGTCTCTTATGTAACATGCTGTAATAAATGAACTAAAACATTTAATTTAATTTAATTTAGCTGGGACAATAACTAAAGAATCACAATATGCATCATTTTACTGTATAGCCGTGCACTTGCAGACTTTGTAATGTCATTTTGTTTTGTTTTTAATATAATGAATCAGTAGATTAGTTAGAGACATTTGCCACGGATGTCAACAGGTCCCATATTGTAAAACGAATGGGTTAATTAGTCTGAGAAAGCTATCTGTAAGTTCAGCTGGCGTGGAGTTTGCTGTGCGGATAGTGAAGGCCAGATCTCACACTGCCAGCACACACCAGTCACCAAGCCAATAACCATGACAACCAGACTTCAAAAGCTCCTGTTTTACTCCGGGAAATTCATGTTTGCTTTTAAGTGCCATAAAAGACAATACCTCCATTCCATTTTTGTTTCATGAACTGTGACCTTTTGTGACCTCCACTCATGGGCATCTTCTTATGCCCCATTAATTATAGCATTAGCTCAGTCTGGGCCCAGAGAAGGCCCTCTGTTGTAACCAGTCAATAGGAAACGTTAGATCAGAGCAGTGACAAAACTCCTATCATGTCATTTGTGATTGTTATGAATGGTAGAGGGGAAATGTTTTGGGCTGCTGCACAAAGGGAGATAAACCCATGGGTGTTGGTCATACTTCCTGGGCGTCTCTCTCTCTGTCCTGAAATAGCTGCTGTGATAGCCTGTTTGCCCTCTTAAAGATCTAAACACGAAACATTTGGAGACTGAATCCATTGTTATGTTGGAGAAACAAACTGATTTAAATTGTCTTTCAAGAACTTCTGTTCTTTATCTTACACTTTAGTTGAGTCGGGCCGTGTATTTTGTGTGTGTGTTGTCAAGTGTAAATTCTCCCTGATTCTCACAATTGTGCCGTAATGCCAGCAGCTGGGCAAAGAAATGTAGTGTTTATGTTGGTATTGGACTTGAAGTCTACACGTTTTGTTCTTAGTTCAGTAGCCTTATGGCTCTGGCAATAACCTGTATGTGTAAGGTTTCATATACCGTTCTGTATATGTGAACTCCACAAATAAATTTAGTGTGTGCATTTAATTTTATTTTATGCATGTTTGGATTTGATTTTTTTTTTATGTATTTATTTATTTTGACTCTGCAGTTTCTACCACACATTTTTCAATTATTTATTTTATTTTTTAATTTAATTATTTATTTTGACTTGCCAGTTTTTACAGGCCATTGTGCTATTTTCATATATCATTCTGCATACATGAACTCCACAAACAATTGTAGTGTGTCCATTTGATTGTATTTTATGAATGTTTTTATTGATTGATTGATTGATTGATTGATTGACTGATTGATTGACTTGGCAGTTTCTACAGGCCATTTTTCCATTATTTTATTTCATGTTTAATTTAATGTTAATGAATTGATTAATTAATTAATTAACTTCATTCCTTTCTTACTTGGCAGTTTCTGTAGGCAATTGGGGAATTGGAAAATAAATAAATAAACAAACAAATAAATAAATAAAAATGAATCTGCACTAAATCTGTTTTATTTTATCTAGTTTATGACCATTTTACAGTGATTTTACCATTCAGCGTTTATGGTTCAGTTTAATTTCAGATCTTTTGGGCTGGAAAAGTTGACTTCTCAGAAGAAAATAGTATTAAAACTCCATACACACACATATCCAGCTCTATCTTGTAATGTAAAGCATTTGCATAACTAGAGAACTTTGTTGGGCCAGATTTCTGAGGGTGCCCTTCTGACTTTGTTGGGCCAGATTTCTGAGGGTGCCCTTCTGACACTCTTCGTAGTGCGGCGAGTGACGGATCGCATGTTAAACAGCTCAGGGGTCGCAAGGCTGGAGGCCGGTACTCTCACGTCTGGCTTCACGCCTCCCATCCATCGTTAGCTCAGTCGTGCAAGGGTTTGTCACAGGGAGAGCGCGCGCTCACCCTGCCTCATTAAAGAGCCACAATGCTAAGAGCATTCCAAGAATGCAGGCGCTCATTCACTCTCGCTCTTTAGATGCGCTGAGACGCCATGCCAAGCACTGACAAGGCAGGGCCAAGCCTCCCTCATGATGATTACCATTTCTAAAGCTTCTTTATTAAATTTATCTTGACATTTACGGCATGCATTCTTCAGATTTGTGGAAAGTGTGTAGTGTGTACTGTAGATGTCCAGCGCTCACATTCCATGTTCCAGTTATCTGAGGTTGTTTTGTGATTCAAAAAGCAAGCAGCTTGAATTTTTGAATATTTCTAAATGATTCATCTTGCAATGAAGACAATTTAACTAAAATACTTTATTAATTCACAGGGTGTTGGTGACATTTTTTTTGTCCTGTAAAGAAAAAGTTCAATTGGGGTTATTATTTTTTAAGCTGAACCAAACATGACAAAACTTCTAAAATGAAAGAGCCAAAGGCACATATACCTAATAAAATAAAAATAAAAAACACATTAATGAATGAACATATGATAGTATATAGATATAATAATGTGTGTAGGTACAGTAATAGATTTAGGTATTAATTTAATGTAATCTAATATAATAGTATTATTATTATTATTTACATTTTGTTGTGATCCAAGCACAAAACAAATCTAGGTATTTTAATCTAGATGATTAATTTAATTCAATTAAATTCATATTTAGGCTCACAACATCATAGAGACAATTGGACAAAAATGTTTATTTTTCTTTTCTTTTATTTGTTTTTGGTCATTTTTTGAGTATGACAGGTGCAGTACCCATTTACTTTGGTAAAAGAAAACTATCAGGACAGCTTTCTGCTAAATAATTTTGTGATATTTGATTTGATTTTATTTCACTTCACAAAATCACAAAATATTACTTCACAAAATGAACCTACCAAAAATGATTTACATGGTTTTCTCTTCAAGACTTCACCACCATGTCGTACTCCCACATGGGACAGTCTTTAACAGTTTTCCTGGAGGGATGATACCTGGTTTGTCAGTGAGATATGGTAATGATAAATGGAGAAACTGAACATGCTCTTAGAGGCACAGGTGGTCAGTGTGTGTGTGTGTGTGTGTGTGTACATTAAAACTCAAAGCATAAAATGACAGAGGAGTACAGGCAACATGACACATACGAATGCAGCAGATTCAAAACAGGATTGACATGTCAGACATTCTGCATGGTGTCTCTGAACCATCAGAATAACATTTGCATAATCTTGCCTATGTTGCCTGAACTCTCTCTTTTACTGTGAGATAAATGTATGTGTGTGTCCTTGAAAGTGATTTAGGAGTAGTCAGGACACAGGACTCTCTGCACCTCTTTATCAGCAGCCTGGTGCCAACCGGAGTCTATCCCCGGGAGGAAAAACAGGAGTTGTGTTTATTCACAGAGAGGGAGTGGCACAGGAAGCTGTCAGCGGGAGCTTCCCCAGAAACAGTTGCCAGGCAGTCCATGCTTTTCTATAGGAGGAAATGGGGAGTGTGTGCGTGGGCCTAAAGGAGGCCACTTCCAGTCTGGTGTTTTGAAGTAATGCACATAGTCAAAGAGAAAGACACATCCATCAGAAGAATGACTAGTCTACACTGCTCAGAAAAACTGATCTGTCATTTACAGAATGTTCCTGCTACAATAAGTTGAACTCAGTTAACATCTTTTGTAGCACAATGTCAATCACAAAAAAATTTGTTTATTTCCATTGATTTGATTTAATCAATAAAAATCATACAATGGCTTACTGTAATTACAATAAAAAAATATTAAGCTGCTCAGCTGTATTCAAAATACAACAATACAGTAATAAATTATGTAATCAAATAATAAAAATTGAATATAATAAATGTTTTCCTGAGCACCAAATCAGCATATTAGAATGATTCCTGAAGGATCATGTGACACAGGGCTGGAGTAATGGCTGCTGAAAATTCAGCTTTGCCATCACAGGAATATATAGCATTTTAAAATATTTTATTATATATAAAAATATATTGCTATTTAAAATTGTAATAAAATATTACTGTTTAATCAAATAAATGCAGCCTTAGTGAACCGGACATTTTTAGTGAGATGCATCTATAGATGATAACGAACAATTGTGAAAAACAATTGTTTATGATATAATAGTTAATTCAATTTATGATTAATGTATTTAAAAAATATGGAAAAGGTAGACAGATGTGGCTTCCTGGTCCCCCTTGGGATGACATTATAGAGAGGAAGGGAGTGTGATGGAGGGATGACTTGGTAAGCAGCTATTTATATACAGTACTATCATTAGCTTTTCCATTGCCATTCTGATTTATACACAAGTGCCTTCTGAACTATTGCTAGGAAGTTCACTTTAAAGCATTGCTGGTAGGTATAAAATGGGCTTCAAATCACACACACACAAGCAGTCTGTCGGCATCTTTTATGTTCTGGATTTAAGCCACATAGACCCTGGCATGGAAATACTTTCCTCTCCTTTCCCTTCATCTCACGGGGTGCGTGTTTTACACATTCCACCTCTGGGAAATCTCTTTCTGTCCCCCAGTCAGTCTTTCTCTCAGAGTATCAGGATGCTCTGATTAGTTATCCCTATAATCTGTATAGAATGCCAGCCTTTAGTGATACCTTGTTGTTTTTTCATCTAGGGGACCCTTTGACTCTTTCTATCTTTATTTGAAGGGCAGCACATCCCCCACAGACGTCTGTCTCCCACCATGCCCTGACTCTGGATCTATGTGTGGAATTCTCTCCTCATTTATCTGTGTGGGTCTGGTTCTCTCCCATTTCCTTTGATTTTTTTCATATTCCAGATCCTGGTGTTGTTGCTTACTAAATCATGTCAGTATAACCCTCAGACTGGCACACAGCTGAGCAGATCTCTTTAAGGAATAGCTCACACAAAAATGACAATTTCCTGCACTTTTATTTGTCAATGAGCTGGAATATGTTTTGTTTAGTGACATATTGTCAGTGAGCTGTCATCTGCAGAAGCTGTGTTGTTTAAAACTGTCTGCACGTGTTGTTTCAACCGAATCATCTGAAGCTGTCAAACGTTTAGTCGAAGACGAGCTCTGAGATTTAAACTTCATTTATTTTACAACAAAAACTATGATTTTGTCATGGTCTCGGTCAGCAGATTAACATGATTCTACCAGTTTAGATAAACGAACCAGACCAGCTCTTAACTGATGGGGTAAGACAGATGAAATGTTGTGCTGAACTCAGAAGCACAAGGTCAAAGTGTAAACACACATAAAATACAGAACAAAAATTCTCCGAGACTCTTAGTTTGGTAAAGTTGATGTGTATTCGTTTTGATTTAGTTAAATGAATGTGTATCATGTGTGTTCACAGTTAAACAATTATTTTAATGTGCTTGTGTGTCATTGTTTACAAACTCAAGTAGCTTTTATAATAAAGCTTGATTGGAGGACAGGGCAGATTTGGACAAATTATTTTAAAGCCTGTATCAAAATGCCTGTTGACATATTTTAGCTATAAGCTAATGACTGATATCATGTCTGTAATAGTGTCTACTGGCGACTTTTTTATTAATATTTATAATAAGCAGATGTTGGAGATCAGATTCACCATCTCCCCCTGAGAAGCATCTGGACAGTGAGTTTGAGCAGGTGAAACAATAGTATTTCTCTAATGATTCAATCTAATGTGTGCTTGAAAGATGGTGCTTCTTAAAAACCATACATGATATTTATTTATTTTGCAGAAAATAAACAGACACGTGCTTTTATTTGCAAAGATAAGTTAAAAGCAGATTCTTATAACCAATAGATAAATATTTATTTAATGTATATGGTCTGTATCATGTGATTCCAGACTCCATAAAAACACTTTTGCTTAAAATACAGCAGCATCTGAAATATTTTTCTCTCATTTCACTTTTCCCCCACAGGAAGCTCTTAGTAAGGATGATGAAGGGGATGTGAAGCTCCGAGTCTCTATCTGAAGTTCTGGATGATCATGAGGTTATAGCTGGAGGAGTGAGACTTTGGCTTCTACAGACCTACAGAGACAGATAATCCTGACTAATCCTGCTCCTGGTGAGCCACTTTCCTGAGTTTAGCTCCAACCTGATTAAAAACACCTGAAACAGCTAATCAAGATCTTTAGGATTACTAGAAACTTACAGGTAGGTTTATTGGGTTCTATGTTTCTAATTCATATAAAACTTGATTTCAATAAACAAATGATGTTGTTTACAAGATGTGTTTGTGTTATCAGTTTCATGCATTTAAACACAAGACTGACATTTGACAGATATTAGTTAATAAATCGATTGGATTTCCCCCCCCCCACAACAGTTTATTTGGTACAATATTTCACTCATACTCATCAAACAGATTTGATATCAGCATATTCCCCTGCAAAATCTCACAACAAACACAGAGAACTGGACATCTTTCTAGTCCTGCTATGAGGCTGGAATTCCATTCTTCTTAATATTTGTGTGAAAAAAATGGTGTGGTTTAAATGCGGGTCTTTGAAGAACAAAAATACAACAGTGGCATGTTCAAATCTCACAAATGCAGTAATCTCTTTTCTGTTTTAACAATGTAAATTTACAAGACCTAAAAACAAACCAACCTTCATCCCAAATTCTGTGGCACAGAGGTTAATCGTTTGCCTTAAAATGTGAAAGTCTCAGCTCAAATTCTTTGGGTTATAGTTTTCGTCATATGACACAAAGTTCTCAAGAATATCACGGTCAAAACACAGTTGAAATCCACACAGTCAGTGTCTCAGAAGATTAAAAATGTTACTTGTGTTAGCTTTAATTAATGCTGTAGCTAAACATAACATCTAAAAGACCCGTGAAACAAACTTTTCCACTGTGTTACAAACTCAGTGACTCAGGAGGTAAAGCGTTTCGATTTTTAATCTTGGAGGCCTGAGTTCGAATCTCACTACTGTGTTAAATTGCAGCTTTGTGGCTTAGTGGTTGAGTGTTTGCGTCCCATAAACAGAAGTCTGGGTTCAAATCCCACACTTGTGTGCTAATCATTATTTAAAACAAAGCTCTCAATAAAACCATGTCCAAAAGACACAACAACAACTCCAGTAGCTCAGTGGATAGAGCTTGGGTCTTTCATCTTGGAGAACGAAGTTCAAATCCCACTATTGCTTATATTAAATTGCTGCCATTAAATCCAACAAAGTTCCCCAAACAACAGTGCTCATTGTGAAAGCCAAGATGGCTCCAGTGGTTAAACACATTGGTTGGGGACAAGATTATGGTAAAGGTGCGGGTTCAAATCCCACCTCAGCATGTTAAAACTTTAACTGGTTTATGTCACAGGCGAATAGTGAAATATAAGTTCTTTCACATGTTCAGACAAGAGATCTGTGGCTCACAGGTTAGAGTGCTGCCTCATGGTTCAGAGGTTGCTGGTTCAATCCCAGCCAGATCTCTGTGATATGAGTGAGTGTTGTGTGAATGAAGGAGTGGGGATGATTCGGGTCCCCCCCGAGCCCCGGCACGATGTCCAGCAGGGGTTATACTTCTTGACAGACTGAAAAATATTTTAGCTGTATAAAAATTTTGAACCGCCGTCCCTTCCCCACCCGTTTAGGGTACCATCATTTGCTTTCTAGAGGAGTCACCCTCCAAAAAGAAAATGATGGTAACCTACATGTTTAGTACACAACAAAACACAAACATAAGTTATGAGTCTTACCTGTCCATCAGCGGATGACCATCATTACAGTGAAAGTCCTACCCGGATGTGTGGAAGAACAGTGTAAAGTGAGCCTGGCTGATCTACACAGAACAAACTGGCTGGTCAGAGAGATTGATCACTCATGCATTTATAGCAAAGATTGACAGGTTATTTGAAAAACAGGACAGATATTATGACTAAACATCGAAATGTTTTGACTTTTTTTTAATAATTAATAGAACAGACACATGCATGAGTTCAGATCAGTTTGTCAGCACACAGCAACACCTTGTGGACAATACGTGTATCTGCAATTATCTGTAAAACTGCAACAGGGCTGTTTAATCCTGCTCCTGCTGAGCCACTTTCCTGAGTTTAGCTCCAAACTGACTGAAAACACCTGAAGCAGCTAATCAAGACCTTTAGGACCACTAGAAACTTCCAGGCACGTTTGTTGGACCCTAAAAGTTTCTTATTCAAATAAATAATAATAAAACAATTAACAAATGATTTTATTTACATTTTGTGTTTGTTTATCAGTTTGAGTTTGACATTTGATGGATCAATAAAGTTCTTAAAGATAATTATGATTGTTTGTACATTTGATTCTGACTGATTTGGTAATACATTGGATTTATTTATTGCCACAACTGCTTATTTAATACAATACACCATTCATCCATGTGAAAGACAGCTCTAAATAAAACTCCATCCCAAACACCTGACAGCTGCACAGACTCGGTGGCTCAGGAGATAAAGCATTGCACTTAAATCACGGAGACCTGACTTCACACAAACTCTGGACCTCAGTGGGTCGTCAGTTAATGTGTTAGTTGCTTTCCATCATATAAAACAAAGTTCTCAGTAAAACCTGTTGTCACAAACTCTGTGGCGCTGAGGATAATCGCTTGCTTTCAAATGTGAGCGTCTTGGTTCAAACCCTGCAAATTACAGTTCTTCATAACATCATACAAATCCCTCAATAAAACTCACTTCAACTCAACAGGTGCAGTAAATAATGCATTGCTCTTTCATCTAGGAGACCTGAGTTCAAATCTCACTATTGCTTACTTTAAATTGTCGTCGTTACATCCAACAAAGTGCCACAAAAGCCAGGCACAAAATGTAAAAGCCACAGTGGGTTAGTGGTTAAGCTCATGTTTTCAGATGATAAGGCTGTGATTGAGGCATGGGTTCAAATCCCACCTCAGTGTGTTCAGACAACTGACAGCTTTGACTGATTTATTGTAAAATCACATGCAGGTGAATAGTGAAATATAGGTTCCCTCACATGTTCAGACAAGAGATCTGTGGCTCACAGGTTAGAGCGCTGCCTCATGGTTCAGAGGTTGCTGGTTCAATCCCAGCCAGATCTCTGTGATATGAGTGAGTGTTGTGTGAATGAAGGAGTGGGGATGATTTGGGTCCCCCCCGAAACCCAGCATGATGTCCAGCAGGGGTTATACTTCTTGACAGACTGAAAAACATTTTTTTAGTCAAAAATTTTTCACCCTCCGTCCCTTCCCCACTCATTTAGGTTACCATCATTTGCTTTCCAGAGGAGTCACCCTCCAAAAAGAAAATGATGGTAACCTACATGTTTAGTACACACCAAAACATAATAAGCCTTACCTGTCCATGTGCAGATGTCTATGAGCAGCTTTCTATTTACAGAAAAAAAAAATATTAGCATTATGTCTTGCATGTGAACTACATGCAAATAATTTTGGACTAAACACACACATCTCTATTCTGTATGGGAAAGACATAATTAAACTAAGAAATTACACAATATTGTATCCATAATGTTTCAGTTTCACAAACACTCATAATTTACATTTTGTAACTGTCTAGTTTGGATTTGCACCCTTTTCTCTATCAAAGCCTATCCCCCAAGAACATGTGTTTAGTCACTAGCACCACTGAGGCTTTCACACTAATGGCTGGTATTTCGTAAATTATGCCCATTCCACCAGTTTCTGCCAAATTGTTAATAGAATATGAATAGAAAGACACTATATATTTCATAGACAGAGATTTAAAAACACTGGTGGTGACTGCTTATCTTTCATCTTACCAGTTTGTCTAAAAGGCCAGGAAGTTGAGGGCAATGGCACAGTTAAAGAGTCAAAGAATCCCAGATCTACAAAACAACAGAACAAGATTAAATAACAAACAATGAGACAATGCTCCAAATTACTGTCAAGCAGGTGGTGTGGGAAATCAGTGTGAGAAACTGCTGTGGGAATAGTTGATTAGATGTGTTTAGTCCAAAATTATTTGCATGTAGTTCACATGCAAGACGTGATGCTAATTATTTTAATTAATTAATTTATTTTTTGGTCTGTAAATAGAAAGTTACTCATATAGACAATACATACATTGAATACACTTCTTTATACTAACAGTATTTTTTTCTGTAGTGCTTAAAGTATGAAAAGGTGTTTAGGTGGTGTTACTAATAAAAAAAGAGTGAAATTCTTGAAAACAATTTGAAAGGGGTTGTAATTTGGCATAATATTTTTTATTTGCTTTTTAAAAATATTTTTTAGTAGCAGTGAAGCAATTTGTTTTATATTTTTATTAATATTAAAAAAACGTCCAACAAATCAAAGTCAATGAGGTGTAACTAGCATGCAAGAAGTCATTTTATATTTAATATTTTTTCTTTTGATATATATATATATTTGTGTTTTTACCTTTTTATGAAAAGGACATTACCAGCACTACCAAAACATTATGATAAGGTACTCTTTTTAAGAATAGTTTATAACTAAATTCCTTAATATTACAAAATGAAATCAACTATCATTTTTGGAGCAGCCTGACTGCGACCTGTAAAACAGACACGCCCTTCTTCCTCTTTTACACGTTGCTATTGGTTCACAAGTATGTCCCGCCCTTTAGGTAAAATGACCAATCCGTCACAAGAGGCGTTTCAGTTCTCCACTCTTATTGGTCAGATTCATCAGTCAATCCCAATGTTCGACAGCGCATAAACACACCCACTTTGCATCGTTTTGAGTGACTAAATTTGTTTCTTAGAATCAAAGTGGATTAAAAGTGGATAAACTGTTTTTCAGTTGTGTGTTTACTTTGGAAAGTTAATACAACATGTTTTCTCGCCGCCTGTGGTCTTTTACATTGCATCTTTGCTTTAAGTTGAGGTGATGCCACTTTTACATATTAACGAGCATGAAACCACATTTTATTATCCGACTAACTCCATAATATCTTACGGACCTGTGTTGTGTGAACAGAACTGCAGGTGACAACTAGTTATTTATGTGGTGTGTTTCTGTGACTCACGTGGATATGGGCCGTAAGTCATCTGCAGGTTCTTCTGTTCGGCAGCTTCAAATTGTCAATCTGGATGAAAGTGAAGCGCGCTTCTGCCGCCTAGTGGAGCGGATGGGAAACTGTTCTTTAGTTTCAACCAAAAGGGACGACTCGGGTCTAGCCTGCTTTAAAGGGGTCATATGATGCTTTTTAAAAGATCATTATTTTGTGTATTTGGTGTAACAGAATATGTTGACATGCTTTAATGTTCAAAAAACACATTATTTTTCAAATACTGTACATTATTGTAGGTCCTCTATGCCCCGCCTCTCTCAAACGCTTAGAGAAAGGAAAACTTGAAATCGCATCATATGACCCTTTAACATTTACATACTCAAGAATCAATTTATAAAGTTAAATGTGTTAAGGTCAGGTAGACAATAAATAAATAAAAAAGCGCCCCCTTGTGGACAATTATTGAATATGAGCATTAATTAATCAAAGGACAAACTGTCTGGAGGTGGCAGGTTGTAGGTGAGACGGCTGAGATTTGAATTTCATATATTTGAAAACAAATCTATCATTTATATATCATAAATCATTTTCTCAGAATCCCGACCAACGTGAATTCATCAGATTCGGTAAATGAACCATATTTGCTCTCATCTGATGCGGTAAGAAACATAAAATGCTTTGAACCAAAAAGGCACGTGCTCACAATTCAAACACACTTAAAATACAGGACGATCTTCTTCTTTTGTATGGATTTTCTGTTTAAGTAGATGTTTATTTGTCTGTAGTTATTTAAAATGTGTGCCGTGTTTGTTCACAGTTAATGATTTAATGATGTTATTTATGTCTGTGGTTGCAGATTCAAGCAACATTTGTAGTAAAGCTTGAATAGTTTAGGAACGATTGGTTTAAATGGTTAAAGTGTGTGTCAAAATGCCTGGTGACATCTATAAACTAATGACTGAATTAACGACTAAACTTATAAATTGTGTCTACTGGCTTTTTACTGATTACTATAAAGGCACATGCATGAGATCAGATCAGTGTATCAGCTCCCTTTTGTGTACAGTAAGTGTATCTGCATTAATATATGAAAGGTGCAATACCTGTATATCTTTTGGTAGAAGCTCTATGCCGCGATATTGGGAATGCACCGAAACATATTTACTATTTCCATAAATGCAAAATATTTCACACGCACACTTATATTTAATAGCTGAGTCACCGGGACACTTTGTGTTTGCGTGTTAGTGGTAGATAATTTCATGAAACTTATTCTAGGCGTTACATTGTTACCACAGCAGGTGGCGACAAATGACTGTGTTTATGAACGAGTCATTTGAGTCGATTTGTTCGAAACACTGATTCGTTCAGTAACGAAACAAGTGAGACATTCAGACCGGCCAACGCAAACATTACCAGAACTGCCTGTATCATTAGTTTGTTGATGGATTGGGAAATAAGTATTAAATAAGCATTCCTTTGCCTTTGTTGGAGGCTGATCTTTGGGAATTTTGAATGATTTTAGAGTGCATTTTGACATTAAACACTGAAATATGAAC